AATTAAAATTAATACTAATAAAAAATTATAATTAATTAGATTAATTATAATAATTTAAATAAAATTAATTAAAATTAATTACAATAACTAAAATTAATTAGGATAAATATAATTAAAATTAATTTTAATTAATTTTAATTAAAAAGTTAATCTCTCCCTCTCCTCCCTCTCTCTGGCTTTGGCAAGTTCACGGGATTGGGTCCAAGAAGCGCACGAACGGGAGCAGGTTACATTCACAGACAACGAGCTCCCTTGTTGTTTCCGTTCAAAATGTCCTGGCTCCCGATCCGGCAGGAAGAGAAAGTCGTTCAAGGAGGCGAAGTCGAGCAACCACGAACGGAGTCGGAGAAGCGAGCTCGGCTTCTTGCTTCCGATCAAAAATGCGTAACTTCCGATTCGACAGGAAGTGTCGTCGAAGGAGAGAAGTCAGACAACGAAGAAGGAGCCGTAGAAGCTAACGAGAGGGAGAAAGTTACGATCACAGCCGGCAAGTCTCCCGTTCTTGCTCCCAATCCGAGAGAAGGGAAAGTCATCGATGGAGCGGCATCGAACAACGAAGGAGCCGAAGGAGCACCGTGAAGGAGAAAGTTTCTTCCACAGCAGGCGAGCTCCCGTGGTCGTGCCCGATCAAAATGTCGTAACTCCCATTCAAACAGGAACGAAAGGTCGTCGGAGGGGCGAGAAGCACGTAAAGGAAGAAAGTTATCTTCACAACGAGTGAGCTCCGGTTCTTGCTTCTGATCCTAATGTCGTAACTTTCGATCTAGCAGGAATCGTTGTCGAAGGAGCGAAGTCGACCAACGACTGAAGAGTCGGAGGAGAAGCGTAAGAGAGCGTTCGGGAGAGGAGGAAGAAGCGGGAGAGACTGAGAGAATTCGGGAATGAGCCAGCGCCCGAGGCCTCTCATTTCGTTGAATTTTTATTGCCTCCTCCCACCTGACGCATCTCTACGTTCGGTATGCCGTGATAACGCGACACCTGGCAGCCTACTTTACCCATTTTGACCCGACGCTAGCCCATATGCTTTACCACGTTTTTTAAAATTCTTCGGGTTGGCCCGTCGTAATGTATATGAAATGGGCGGGAAAAGTAAAAGAGTACGCGGCTTTTACCTCTGGTATAAAAACCTTCTCTGTATTAAACCTAAGATGTTCTACAGTCTTTACGGTTCCTATAATTTTCATATACCTGACGTAAAGAAATCGTTAAGTATTTTAGGAGATGGAAGGATCGAATGAAGGTTTTGCTTTCGAAGACTTCGTATTCTGCGAGGAAACTCAGACTTTAAGCTATGATGAAGCTTTTTCTGATTTAATAGTAGTAAGTTATTATGTATACTGTTTGTTTTTTTTCTACTTTTTACTGTTTCATTAATGGTACGTATAGGCTTATCTAACAGCTCGGTATTGCTCTGTACTGCTCGGTACCGAGCAGTACCGAGCAATATTAACACTCGGTATTGATCGGTATTAGTTATTAGCATTACTAACGATTGATGTTACGCAGGGATATACTCCAAATATTCATTTCAGATGCCGGACTTCGACTTTTAGCGAAGTTTGTAATATACTTGTTAAGAGATTTGGAGATCCTTTGGTTGATAGACTGCGTTAGTTGCAAATCAGCCAGTTCCTCAGGTTTCCTCTTATGCCTCAAAATGTTCCACTTATACATATGCTATTATCGAAGTGTGATATGAAGACCGAAAGTTTCATTATTAAAGGCCAAAGTCTAAAATTCACATCTGATGAAGTTGCATTACTGATAAGCATGCCGAATAGGGGTATTATTTTTGACATTGGCAATGCCAGATCTAGTGGCAAAACTTCAAATGACATTCGCCAGGACATTGAGAGGATGGATAATAGCACTCAAATGGATGATCTCGTGAAATGCTTCGTCCTTTACCTCCTATCCAACATATTTTATCCAACGGCTAACTTTCGGATACCATTAGCTATCTTGGAACTTGTCAATACTCTTGATATGTTTAATCAGTACAACTGGCCTGAATCAATTAGGGGTTTCCTAGTTGAAGAATTCAACGTTGTTGCTACAAAATAAGCCAAGGGATTTGCTTTGGGTTATGTAAATGGTTTTGTAATGATTTTAATTGTGAGTATTGTTTGTTTGTTCAATAAATGTTTGATTAATGTAACAAATCTATAACAAAATTAAATTGTCTTTATTTCTACAGATTTGGTTTCTTGAACATACAACAATTCATGTTGTACAGGATGATCTATCCCGGCCTCGTTTTACTCGCTGGGATGGTAACTTTATTTACACTGAGAAAGAAGTAAATAATATATTTGCTGACCTTCAAGATGAAGAGGTATCTTCACTACATATTTTAATTCAATTGTCTCGTAAAATTATATTTGTTAATGGTTAAATTGGATGTAATGTTATATTTTTTGCAGATTATTAAAGAATTGCAAGGAATAACTGATGATGAGAAGGTTTTATTGCTTCGTCTTTCTCCACCAGCCAGTCCAATACGGGTGGCAAGCCCTAGTAGGGTAGTTTTCCCAGCAACAGCCGAGTCATGTCCACCCACTGCTGGTTCTCCAGTGCGGTTGCCAAGTCCAATAATGGAGCCAAGTCCACCCAACCATGACTCAGCTCAACCAACTCCAGTGAGTCCAGTACGGTTATCAAGCCCAACTCATCCTTATTCATTTGCACATCCTGAATCAAGACATGTAGATGATGAAACTAACTTGAGAATATTAAATAAAGCAACATTCGAGCTCTTCAACAAGGACAAATTTATGAAGAAGAAGGTAGCAGATGTGGAAGCAACCAATCACATACTTGAACAGCGCATACATTTTCTGGAGGACTCTGTATTTGATTTGGAAAAGGAAAATTTTGATTTAAAAGAACAAATTAAAAAGAAAGACCGGTTTTTGATGCAGTTCTTTCAAGAACAATTTCCTTCTTATTTTAAAACTTACAAGAAAGAAATGAGTGCTGGTTCTTCTTTATCTCCGACTGTATCTGAACATGACACGACCTTGAGTGAGTATGAGGTTGATCCGTCCTTACTGACAGGGATTGCAAAAAGAGTTCAAAGGAGAAATGATCGAAAAAGAAAACTTGTATCCACACCTTTCACTACGGGTGTTAGGAAGAAAAAAAAAAAAAATTGGCATCCAAAGAGGATTTAGGTGATGCAATTTCAAGTGATCCTCCAGCAGCACCGGAAATTGCTCCAGTTCATACACCTACTCCTGCACCACAACCTCCAACGGAACCTACACCAACTAGTCCAAGTGTAATTGCAGCAGCACCTGATACAACTCCTTTAGCCGCAGCCTCTCCTAAAACTGGTATAGAACCAGAACAAGCTAATCTTACTGCTGTTGAACCGTCTGTTGTTAAAGCAATGATTCTTTATGAAGTTGATGAAAATAAAGAAATTCCAGTGAGACCTGCAGCTGAAATGTTAAATTATCCTGGCAGAGCCTTAATTAGTGAAGATAAACGGCTAATAATCGATAATGGCCTTAAACAATTCAAGTATAAGTGAGTACTTGGTTTTATACCAATTTGAGTTGTTACTATATCAATACCGCGTAGTACCGACATTTACTGTTCGGTACAACTCGGTATTATAACATTTGTACTCGGTATTATAACATTACTACTCGGTAGTACCACATTTTCAGTCGGTACTACCTCAATACCGAATAGTACCGAGGATTGTTGCTCGGTACTACTACATTTTGAGTCGGTACTACATTTTGAATTTTTTTTTTGAATTATACAGGAGCGATTCTATCTTCGAGCTTGGAAATATAACAATTTATAGAAGCCAATTAGATGAATTATTAATGTCGGAAGAGCTTGATAATAACCACATAGACGCGTTTGGTCATTTATTAACGCAGAAGAATGCAGCATGTCCTCGTCTTAATCAACATTTTCTATTTGTTTCAAGCTTCCATTGGGTTAGTAGTAAACATTCTTGTATTTATTCGATTTAACCATGTTCGAATTAATCACACAACTTTTTTCTTCTTAACCAGCTTTACTACAAACAATACAATGACTCGAATACAAGAATGTTCGTATCTCATATAAACAAAACCCTTATTAGGAGTGTAAATTTGATCTTCATTCCAATAATAAACGGTGAACATTGGACGCTTCTACTTTGCAATTTGTTAAAAAAATGGTGGGAGTTTTATGATTCATTACCGAAGAAGACATATAAAGCGATACTCGCAGAAGTTGTAAGTAACAACTAATTTTTTTGTTATCATTTGTAGTCTTAACATTATTCTATGTTAATTTAATTTTGATTATCCAGATTTCTCATTTCTACAAAGACACGGAGGACGCCTTTGACAATGATATAACGACATGGCCAATCAAAGGATTTAGAAACGTGCCGACACAAGATAACAATGTCGATTGCGGAATGTATCTTTGTAAATATATGGAAGTTCTAATACAACAAGAACCAATTAAATGGTATCGATATTTGAACTGACATTCTAGTATGCCATTGTATAGGACTGAATTTGCTTATGACTTGCTATGTACTAAAATTAAATAGATTATGAAAGAAATGTTTAACTTTGATTATCTTGTGAAATTTTTATTTAAACTAAATGGTGCCCAGTACTAAAAGGGAGCAATACCTCGGTATAGCTCGGTATGGATCGGTATGGCTCGGCATAGCTCGGTATATATGGCTCGGTATAACTCGGTATAGCTCGGTATAGATCGGTATAGCTCGGTATATCTCTGTATAGGTCGGTATAGCTCGGTATGATAGAAATTTTCCAGGTACAAACGCAATATTGATCGGTATTGCTCGGTATTACGCGAAATATGCACGGTACAAACCCAATAACGATCGGTATTGCTCGGTATCAGCCCAAATATCTCCAAAATCACATATACATTCAGAAAGTCATATTAATAATATAAATTAAATGCCAAATTTACTGATTACATGAAAGACGATTGACTACCTGAATCTGGATTTGTAAAGTGTAAGCTTGTTGGAGGAATCGTGGAGGTTTGTTTAAATTTTTTGGGCTTCCTTTTCTCCAGTGATCCTTCAATCTTGCATTTGAAACGCCCTTGGGCCGACATTTCTTTGGATCTTTAATAGTTTCATTACTAGCTCCAAAAATTGGTATGTTTTTTCTACCAAGCTTGATGGAATGAACTTTTGCAGCAAAAGTACTCAAATCATCTATGACACACTTCTCAGCCTCTTTATTACCTTGTGCTTCTGTGCTAATTTTATATGCAAAATGGCATACATAATTTCTGAAAATCAAGTTGCTATCACCCGAAATAAGTTGACAAGCATTAGTACCAAGACTTGGGATCTTACCTCTAGAATATAAATCTTTTCAAGCATTGGCTGATCATCTTGGGAGTAAATATTTAATGGGAATATTAATAATGTCTAACTGTCTCATTACTCTCATGCAATGTGCACATAATATTCCCATCATTTCGAACTTAGCACATGTGCATTCAATGGTACCTTCAATTGAATTAAATTTGACAATCCATTTGTGTGAATCAGTGGAGGTATCAATGTTCCAAACAGAAAACCTTGATAAATCTGATGAAGTATTTTCCACGCATAATCTACCAAGTCCATGTAAGAACTACTCTTCAAAAAATGCATACAACTTCCTTGAATAAAATTTTGAAGCTTGCTTCAATATTGGGCTACTTTTCATATAAGGAACTATGTCAGTTTGACTACATCTGAATTCTTCATCTTGTTCATTTCGACGCCAATTCCTCATCACCTTCTCCAAACCGAGGAAGCACTCCGTGATACTACTTGTTGGCTTGGAATAACCATGGCATACATGATTGGTTGACTCACTCCGTTGGGCTGATAAAATGCCAAGATTAAAACAATCTTTGTTGAATGCAGTTGACCACTTATCCCTGATTTTGTAGAGATCATTCAACCATTGATTATTTTGCAGGTTTCCTTCTGATATCATTTCAGTCCATTTACACTCAAATTCCTCCACTGAATCACATTGTTTGAAACAGTAAAAAAATAAGCATTTAACTCAGTTGTTACTGTTAAAGCACCATACCTTTGAAGGTGACTTTTTGTACAGATGCCATTGGCACAATCGATGTCGTGTATTAGGCAATGCAATCTCTATTGCCCTAGCCATGGCTTGGTCCTGATCAGTAAAAATGGTAATGGGATGTTTGTTATCCATGATTCTTATAAATGTTTGAAAAATTTAGGTAAAAGAAGCTATAGTCTCATCAGATAAAAATGCAACTCCTAGTAGAACATTTTGCCAGTGATTGTTAACTCCGACAATTGGGGCACAAGTTAAGTTATATTTATTTAAACGATAACTAGTATCGAATATAATCACATCCCCAAAACAGTCATAATCGATTCTACCGAGATCATCAACCCAAAAAAAATTCAACAAACATCCATCTTCATCTGTTTCAACATCCCATGCAAACATGTGGTCATCAATTGCCCGTTCTTTAAACAACTTGATCAGTGAATTAGTGTCTCCACTCTCAAACTTCGCTCTTCTTTCTTTTTGGATATGGTTGTACGCATCCCGCTTCGTGAATCCAAGATTAGCCACACCTCCAACTTCATCAGATAGGTACGTAAATGCATCGACAGTTCTTATACCGGCTTCTGACATAGATTTCAAAACAGCTGCATTATCATCACTAATTGACCTAGCCGACCTGAGCAAATGTTGATCATCCGGCCTAGCCAGTTCGTGATTGCGACTCTCTACAGATTTATTCACTAATCAAAGCCCATCTTGATCAGCGAAAATCTAACCATGGCTGGACATCCTGTTCTTGTACATGATCTTCGATATTTTAACTTAGTACCACTTTCATTCTCCTTCTTGAAACCTGCTTTAGAACACACAAAATCCTTTGATTTGATTAACCTTGTATTTGGCCAGAAATGGTGATATTTTTTCCGAACACTAAATCCAGTTGAATGCGCATACTGACAATATTTTTCATATGCTTCTTTCTCAGAATTGTAAACACCCTAATAAATATTCATACATCCATATTAGTTTTATATCTAAATATCAATCCAGACATTAAAAACATTTTGATACCGAGGTACCGAGCGGTTTATGCAGTACATCTCGGTATATACCGATCGGTACCGACTACTATATGAATGATCGGCACTACGACGTATTAATATTTATTAGCTCGGTACTAGTGGTAACCGGGATTATACCGAGCTATTATAATTAGAACCGACCGTATACCGATATATATTAATGAATACCGACCTTATACCGAGCTAAGAAGGAGTTCAACTGTGTATTGCTCGGTACAACTGTGTATCGATCTTTTATCTATCTATTATAATCAGTACCGAACGTATACCGATCTATAATATAGAATACCGACCTAATACCGAGCTAAAAAAAGCTCATACTGAGTAATGATCAATACTACTACAACCAACGTTTGATACCCATTAATGAAACAGTAAAATGTAGAAAAAAACAAACAGTATACATAATAACTTACTACTATTAAATCAGAAAAAGCTGCATCATAGCTTAAAGTCTGAGTTTCCTCGCAGAATACGAAGTCTTCGAAAGCAAAACCTTCATTCGATCCTTCCATCTCCTAAAATACTTAACGATTTCTTTACGTCAGATATATGAAAATTATAGGAACCGTAAAGACTGTAGAACATCTTAGGTTTAATACAGATAAGGTTTTTATACCAGAGGTAAAAGCCGCGTACTTTTTTACTTTTCCCGCCCATTTCATATACATTACGACGGGCCAACCCGAAGAATTTTAAAAAACGTGGTAAAGCATATGGGCTAGCGTCGGGTCAAAATGGGTAAAGTAGGCTGCCAGGTGTCGCGTTATTACGACATACCGAACGTAGAGATGCGTCAGGTTGGAGGAGGCAATAAAAATTCAATAAAAATTCCATTTCGTTTGGCTTTAACGTCGCGAGGAAGAGATCGTGGGGTGAAACGACTCGAGAGTGGCTTCGACGTGCGAAATGCGGCGACGACGTGCGGGCAGGTACGAGTTTTTTTCTTTTTTTTGTATGCTATTAACAGGTCAACAACAATAACAAAAGAAAAATAAATATTATTAATAATAAAGAAAATTCTTTATCAGATGTTATAATCACAGTCATTTTTAGATTATTTGGATGTTCCGAACATAACGACGAAGTCCGTTTTACGATCGAGCGTCGTTTGGGCAATGTCGCACAATATTTTTGGGTTTCGGTCGTCGATTTTGATTGTTTCTGCCCGATTTGACTGCAAATGGCTCCATCCTAAGTAAATTCGACGTTCCGATAGCAATGACGTAGTCCGTTTGGTGATCGGAGGTCCTTTGAGCACTTTAGTGATATGTCGCTCCTACCGACCGTCACTCGCGTTGCCAATTTCGACCTTTTTTAGTTTCTTAGTGTATGGATCAACAATAATTCATTCTCAACAACTAAGAAATGAACATAGAAAGGGATTATTCTAAGTTTATACTAATTCCTTGGTTCTTTGTAAAAACAAAAGTATACCATGTTGTACGGTGAAAGAATTCAAAGTTGTCAGACTCCAAAACATGAAGAAAACAAAATATACTATGCTGTATGTTGAATGAATTTGAAGTTGACGGACTCAAAAACATGAAGCGGAGCAGAAAAATAATCCATACAAATCGAAGATGGGGTGTAGCATTGTTCAAAAAGCCCAAACGCAAATGCTAGTCAACTCAGTTTCCTATCAATCTTAAATTTCTGTGAAAATAAGATAAAACCTCAAATAAACAATTGGAATCTATCTACCAACTCGACTACTCTTTAAATTGCTAATTCTACATATCATAAATTATGCTTGTGGCATGCATTTATAACTTTAACAATTCAAACAGAATACATATTGCCCCCATTAATACAGAGTATGAGGCCAGATTGAATTACATAACATTATCCTTGCGTTTTATTTTTGTTACTTCCAGAATATACTAGAGGTTGTTGCACCAACTCCAATTCCGAACTCTAAATAAATTAATATCTAATAATCTCAATTCCAAGTTGAAAGTTTCCCAAGAAAGCTGATGCACATTTTTGTTCTACTAAGGAATGAACAGCTCTCTATCTCACTGGGTTTCATATTACCAAGATAAAAACATGACTCTACTGACAATAAAAGAAATCCAACTTTACCTTTTAAAGGAGTCGGTGAAGCTGCTTCCATAGTGTTTGAGCTTGCCCTTGTCACACACATCCAGGCTCTGTTTGACCCTTGTTCACAATCTGCTATAGGAATGTGCCAATGGCCTCTCTCTGATTCCTAAATATCATGCCCAAGTTTATCATAGTAAATATTAAGTTTACATAATGTAAATAAGCAACTTGGATAATAATTAAGTAATATAATCAATTTAGGTGCAGTCTTCTCATATATAGTGTTAGCTGCTAAATTTACTCAAGTTTTATAGAAAGAGAAACCAACCTGGATGACAATAGAGCATGGAGGTGGCATTAGAAACTGAAAATTGCCATCTTGGTGCTTGAAGCGCACCTAACAAAAAATGAGAAGTCCTTGAAATTGTTGTATATAGTGAAAATGTATGATTTTTTTTTTTTCATGTGTATTTAGCCACTACTGAGGGATAATATTGTGGAGTTAGCAAAAACAGATATGAACTAGATAGGTATAGTCTTACAATTTTATATCTATTTATTTCTACGGATCAACTCCATTTTTATAATAACAAAAACAAACAAAATTGACAAAGGTTCACTCAATTGATAACTAAATATTATTTTCCACTCATGTAGATTTTACATGATTTAGAATGATATTTTTTTTCTCATGAGTATTTAGCCACTAGTGAGGGATAATATTATGGAGTTTTTTTTTTTTTTTTTTAATATTATGGAGTTAGCGAAGCAGCTATGAACTATGTAGGTATAGTCTTACAATTTTATATCTACTTATTTCTACATATCAACTCCATTTTGTTATACAACAACAACAACAACAACAACAAGCCTTTAAACCCATTTTGCTATATGCCAAAAAAAAAAATTTACAAAGTTTCACACAATTAATGACTCCATGTTGCCGTTGCTGCAGATTGTAGATGATTTTATGATTTTGACCATGGAACCCGCGGCCAATTGAAAAATAGTTAAATTACCAAAATGCCCTTAAAAATAACCTACAAATGGCGGAACTATTTATGGTGATCCATCTCCAAACCCCTAATAGAGGGTCCCCCTACCTCATTCCAACCTATGGCAACTTTACCATGACTTATAATAAGTTTGTGTAGGCCTTTTTTTTTTTCTAAAGTTAAAAATTAGGCTCCATAACTTAACCAAAGTGCTATTCTTGATGAATGATAACAAATCATCTAATCATGCATTCTATAACATCATGCAAGCTTGAATGCAAGGGTCAAATTTTGACTTGTTACAACATATTGGCATGCGCACAATGCATGCAAGAGGGAGGAAGCTGTAATTTACATAGTACAATTGAATATGCATTTTTTGTTGAATTTATTGCTGCGGAACAAATAAAATTTATGCTGCTAGATTTTGTTTACTCACCTGATGCCTTTCTTTCCATCTAGGGAAGAAATCATTTCCTAGAACCTGGAAAACATGGTCTCTCATCTCGTCATTGGTAACAACCAAGCATTTGCATTTTATAGCTGCATATAACCAGTACCTGAACCCCATGTTATCATCTATAGTGCTCTAATGCAGTAAGATTACAAAAATACATACAAGTTTGCAGTTAGAAAAGAGAAAGCTCACAAATAATTTCAATGGAAATCAACAAGGAAACCACTTTAGAGAACTTTAGTAAAAAATGCAGCATTTATGGGAATTTGTGATTAGTATGAAAGGTGCGTTAACTTGAGAAAGTATAATTTATTTCTCTGATCCAAGGATCTAAGCTCGATAGAGCTGAAGCATCTCATAGCCTTCTAAATCCCCGATAGAAAATACAGTCAAATTGCTCTTGCGAATAGTAACATGAAACCATGTCTCTGATTTCTTTTTTTTTTTCTTTAATTTTATGCCAAGGCACAAAATTTGATACAAAGATAACAACAACATCAAGCCTTTATCCCACTAAATAGGGTAGGCCACATGGATTATTTTTCTTCATTGTATTTTAAATCTAATGAGAGAAAAGGATCAAGATGATCTCTTAACTCTTTGTGAGGGACCAAAACACTCCCCAACTCTTTTGAGGGACAAATCTGGTCCTTCAACTCCTTAAAAATGAACCTTTTTGGATATAACATTAAATTTTGAGGTTAATGGTGTTAAATCAAGGGGCATTTTAATCAATTTTAATTAAATTATTTATTAAATATAATTTTCAAGCAATAGTAAATTTTTTAAAAAATTATTAAACATTTCTTTAATAAAAAAATTCATTAATAATTCTAGTTTTAATTTTAAATATATTAATAATTCTTAAATGACCAAAATATCCTTTGATTTAACACCATTAACCCAAAAAATTGATGTTATGACCAAAAAAGCTCATTTTTAAGGAGTTGAGGGACCAAATTGGTCCTAGTACCTCAAAAAAGTTGGGGACTATTTTAATCCCTCACAAAGATTTGAGAGATCATTTTGATCATTTTTTTAATATAATAAAAAAAGTCATTTTAATACTTTCTAACCAAATTTTTTTTAGGTTTACCTCTATCTTTCTTAACATAGGTCAGATCTAAGACATATACTCTTCTAACTAGGTTAACATAAGGCCGATGTTTTATGTGACCAAACCATCTAAGGCGACTCTCTCTAATCTTTTCTGTCATTGGAGCTATTCCAACATTTTCACTTATATACTCGTTTTGTTATTGTAGGGCATATTGATCTCAGAACTTTGACGATAACTTCCAAGATTTTTCCCAAATAAGTAAGCTAGCACACACCATATCTCCATTTCCCTTCTCCATCAACTTAGCTATTTACTCAAATTAACTAACCAGTCAATTGCCATTTAAGTTAGTTTCAAGTTTAATGGCTTCAGAAAGCCTCAAATGCCTCTAATTTAGTAATGTTTCAAGGGTTTGGGATTGGAATCTGGTCATTTTCAGTTTTAAAACACAAGCTCATGGTTAGGATGCATACTTGTTTGCCAGCTAGCTTTTTCACCCAACTAAACATGACATAACTAATCCTCCCAAGGACTGTATTGACAGGGGTCTCATGCACTGGTAAGACCTTTACAACAAGCATTGATTATTTTTCAAAATGCCTACAAATGCTCCTATCAAATAATTAGAATAGTGTCCTTTCATTTAAACATATCCCAGAAACCAATCCAAAACTTATCACACAATTTGGGAGCCAAGTGCCCATTTGTCTCTCATCAAACTTTTTGGCAGCCAGATTTTGGGTCATTTCCATAGTAGAACTCTTATTCTTGTTATCCTTTCAATTCTTTATCCTTATAATTCAGGACATGTGAGGATCTTTAGAGAGCATAATAGAACAACTATTCAATTAACTTCATATTTTCTGGAATTTTTATCAGCGTGGATGGTTAATGTTTCAGCTTTGTATTCCATGTGCCTGTGCTCTCTTCATCTTCTACTAAAGGGCTGACTCACATAGACTAAGGCTTTATTTGAGATGACTTTCTTACTGCTTCTTAAAGCATCTTTATAGTTAAAAAATTAAAATATTTGTCTAGAAAGCTACTTTAAGAAGCAATAAAAAAACCGTCTCAAACGAAACCTAAATTGAATTGTCTTCAACCGTCCAAGACTAGGTTCCATTGATTCAATGTACAAAAAGCCAAGTAAACGATAACTGACGTGAAAGTTGCAAGATAATAGCAATCATTATCTCATAGCTCATCACAATGCTCTTGCATTAAAAATATTTCATAAACATCACACTTGAAATAACAGATGGAACAATGATTTCAGTTGTGCTTTTCTAGATTGAATAGTTCAATATAGATTATCAAAAATAACAATTAAATTAAGCTTATGATGAAAATCAATTAGCCAAAAATCATATTGACAAAAAAGTAGCATAAAATCATATAAAACAGCCTCACCAATCATCATTTGATCCTGTAGGAGTTGCATAAATAGCATCAGCATTTTTCCATTTCTCTAATAGTTTCTTATTGAAGGGTTCATTCATCTTGCTTCCAAAAAGGCGCTTGTTATGCACTATGATAAGAGGCGGCTTCTTTAACGGGAGTTTTTGCCTTATGCCATTAGCAACAGCATTTACCTACAAATTCAGAAATAACACGTCAACCAGTAGGGCATTCGGCAGAACACATACCATATAATACTATTATAGCTCACCTTATTTACCGAAAACCGCCGTTGCTTGAAAAGGCCAACATTTGCAGCATCAATAACAGCTTCAAAAGGGCCATAGTACTCCAACCATTTCTGCAACGTTAATGAAAAGTTAACCCATTGCCTTAAACCTTCCTAAGTTTTATGCTAAGAAATCTGCACAATTGAAACAAAGATGTCTGGTTAAATAAAACATTACATATAAGAGATAATAAAGCACAAATATCCCAACTATTAAGATAAATCCACAAATTCCTTGTCAAAATATGCATGCATGACAGTAATAACAAGCCCTGAAAGAAATAATATATTCGGAAATGAAGCTTGTTGTTGTAAACACTCAGAAAAGCACACAGACACAACTGTAACCATTAGGTGTTTCTAGATACTGTTTAAACCTTCCTAAGTTTTATGCTAAGAAATCGGCACAATCGAAACCAAGATGTCTTTTTAAGTAAAAACAAACACTGTAACGATACATGTATCTAGATACTGCTTATAAGAGCAAAGTTAAACAAAAAAAAGATCAAATAAACTATACTTCAAAGGTTTAGTAGTTTACTTGAAATTTCTCAAAGTTTGAGTTCCTATCCCTCTTGATTGCTATAGACGCTACAGACTTGGCAAAATTTTCAGTCTCAACAGGATCAAGATCTATATTAACCAACTGCTCTTGACAAACCGAACAAACACCTTCATCATTAACATGGCTTCGCAAGACCATCCATTTTCCCTTACCCAACCACCCCAAGCCATGCCATCCCCCACCATTATTTTCTACAACTTGTTTTATAGCCTCTCTGTCCCATTTTCTCTTTCCTACTCTAGAAGCAATCGAACTCTTAAACCATTCATCAATTACATCAGCTGTAGATGGAGATACTTGCCTCACAATAGTTCTAAGCCTGTGAAGCAAGTAATAGACCTTTTCTCCTCTTCCAGCTAAAACACTGGCTCTAAGAAGTGCCAACAACTCAGGTTCTTCAGGGGTGATTCCTGATTCAATCATGTGTCTTTCTACTTCAAATGCTTTGTCTACACTTCCCTTACTGGAAAAGGCAAGGATTGCAGGACCATATGACCGAAGCCTGGGAGTTATCCCCATCTCCTTCATCTGTTTTACAACCTCGAATGCCATGTCTCCATTCCCCATGGACATGGCCATTCGAGCAACCGATGTCATGGCTGCTTCACTCATTGGAACTTTCTCCAAGCGCATCTTCTCAAATATCTCAAACCCCCTTCTTCTTGCATAGGTTCTCATATCATCACTTAATATAAGAGAAACCACACCAGTATTCTTCTCCATAATTTTAAATATTTCACCATCAAAAGATTCAGCTCCATAATCTTCTGAACAACTCTCTTTAAACTGCAAATTTGGCGTCTTCAAGCTTCCAAAATCTTTCTGCTTACTTAAAGTTTGCAACATTGAATCATCATCTGAAGCCTTGTCGGTAGAACTACAACTAACACTTCCACTCTTTGCAGGGTAAATAAAACCAATTGCTGCAGAAGAACAAAGATACAAGAGCACATTATAGTGATACTGCTGCAACTTGAAACCTTTTTCAACTGCTGTGTCATACAGAGAGATAGCTCCCAATGCATCCCCGGTCTTTGAGCACATATCCAACCCAATCCTAAACTCAACTTCTTCCGAACTGAGCTTTGCTTTATGACTCTTCTTCTTCTTCTTGATCTCATAGTTAAAGCCAATATCTTTCTTCAAAATTTCATCCCCTTCTTCCTTTCTCAACCTCAGGGAAGGATAGCCAGCAAGAAGAACACCTTTATTTCCTTCAGAACCCGCATTTGTAGGCGGATAGTCTGCATTTTTCTCTAGCACGAGCCTCTTCGCGTGGAAAGATTCTCTTTTGGGAATTTTTTCAACCACCTTGCCGGCATGGGGCCTTGAAGTTGAGTAGGCAGCAGAGAAAGCGGGAAAGGGAGCGAAGAAGAAGAAGCGGCAAGCGCAAGAAGTTTTGAAGGGAATGAGGGGATGAAGACCAGTCGAGAAGGGGAGATCAGGGAAGAGATAATTGCAAATTGGTTTTAAATAGAGGAAGGGGGGTGCCATGCGAGTATCGCGGTAGGGGATGAGTGGGAGCTATCACTGCCATGATAAGCATACAAAGAGGAAACAGGACAGTTTCATGAGCATCGCTGGTAACCTTATCTTCTTGAGGTCGGTTAGCTTACATTTCTGGGGTTGTTTGGCTGCAAATAAGATTTAGAAGAATTAGTAAATTCTGTAAATCAGAATTATTTAAATTGTAAATGCCAAATTTTAGAAAGGAGCTGATTTTTAACAATATTATGTAAAATGATCATGATTATAAAAAAATTTTAAAAAGAGCAAATACGTTGAATAATTTGACGCATTTAGAATACGCCAAATAGTTCGACGCATTCTAAATGCACCAACCTAATTGGCGTATTTGCCAAGAGAGAGAAAGAGAGGGAGGGGAGAGTATGGGAAGAGAACGTTTGGGAAGAGAGAGAAAAAACTGAAGAGTGAGAGAGAGAGAGGAGAATAAAGAGGGAGAGTCCGTGGGTGGAGAGATTTATATATTAATTAAAATAAAAGTTAAATTAATATTTAACTAATATTAATTAAAAAAAGAAATATTTAAGTAATATTTATAATACTAATTAATATTTAAATATTAGCATATATATATA